CCACTCACAGATGAGTAGTGGCTGTGCCTGAAGGCACATTAGCCAGGAATTGGACCTGGGTCTCCTGAACAGAAGGTGAAAATTCTACCACTGAAATACCACTGCCCTCTTACATATATAACCAAAAAAAACCAAAGTCACTGCCATCGAGTCGGATCCAACTCATAGCAACCCCTTCTTGGTTTTCTGAGACAGTATCACTGCAGAAGTTGATATTGCCCAGTCTTTCTTCTGAGGAGTGGCTGGTGGGTTCGAATTGCCAGCCTTCTGGTTAGCACTCAGATGCCTTAGGCATTACATTACCAGAGCTCCTCTTACATATATATTTACTACAATTAAAAAAAAAAAAAAAAAAAGCTGTATATGCACACGAAATCCTTTAGTGAAAGGAAAGGCACCTTACCAGTAAATAAGACATACTGAACACACACATTTATTTCTTTTTCCCTTTAAATGATGGTAGAGGATTGGGGGTGTGGGGAGAGGCACAAAAACACACATATAAAGAGAACAAATGATAAGCAAACACTGTTTCAGAGATGAGTACATAATTTTGGAAGATGGAAAACATATGAACAAAGGAAAATAATTGAGTGTAGACAGAGCCTAAGCCCACAGAGGGGAAAGTCTATACCAGAAGCAAGCAGATTCATGCTACAGGATACCAAAATGGCTCAGGAATTAGCAACATCAGCAACTTACGAACACAGAAGTGAGGCATAGGGCAGAAAACAGGAGAACTGATGGAAGATCTGTATGAGGAGCAATTAGCCTACCACCTTTTTTCATCCTACACCATGCAATAAGCTATCACTTCTTCCTCCACTCTTAGTGGAAATGGAATCAGGACACATTTTCTAGGTAGACTCTAGGAAATCAGGCCCAGCTGAGGGCAGGAATGAAGGACTGTCATTGTAAACTGGTGGATTCAGTAAAACATCTATACATTGAGTTTAAAACTCTGTAGCTCTTTTCTTATACTTGGTTCAGGAATGCTGGGATCTAGACTAATGTCCTCTGGGGTAGACAGAATAATGCCCCCCCCCCAATTTTTTTTAAAAGTCTACATTTTAATCCCTAAAATCTGTGGATATGTTACCTTACATGGCAAAGGACATTGCAGGTGTGATTAAGTTAAGGACCTTGAGATGAGAAGCTCATCCAGGATCATCCGGGTGGGCTCAGTGTAATCACAGAGTCCTTATAAGAGTAAGGCCGAAAGGTCAGAGTCAGAGTGGAGATGTGACAATGGAAGCAGAAGTTAAAATTATATCCCGGAAATTTGTCTCAATCAGTTGATAAAGGTCTTTCTCGTGATTTTGTACAGCTGCATAATGCTCCATGGCATGGATGTACCAGAGAAGAATGGTTGAATCGACTATGGTATAGACACACAATGGAGTACTATGCAGGATATATTGCTTAGCGAAAAAATAAAAGTATTAAAGAATCTCCATAGTATGCTATCTTTTGTGTAAAGAAAAAAAAAGGGGGATCTAAGAAAATATACATATATCATCTCATTTGTGCACAAAGAAATAGAAGATGGTCCTTTTTTTTATAAAAGGACAAGAATAGGTGTATAAATAGAGAGACCAATATTCCTGGTAGTTGCAATGCTGTGAATTGCTTAATATGGCCCTTCTAGCCATAGTTCTCCATTTTGTGGTGTATTGTAAATCCTAGTCTCTATGCCCCACCACTTATCTGTCAGTTTGTCATACTGTGGTGGATTCTGTGTTGCTGTGATGCTGGAGGCTATGTCACCAGTATTGCAAATGCCAGCATGGTCACCCATGGTGGACAGGTTTCATTGGAACTTCCAGACTAAGACAGACATGGTTGAAGGAAGGGACCGTCCACTTCTCAAAGAACTAGCCAGTGAAAACTTTATAAATAGCAGTGAAACACTGTCTGATATATTACTGGAAAACATTATGAATAGCCCTGAAACATTGTCTGATATAGTGCCAGAAGGTGAGCCCCTCAGGTCTGAAGGCACTCAAAATACAACTGGAGAAGAGCTGCCTCCTAAAAGTAGAGTCGACCTTAATTATGTGGATGGAGTAAAGCTTCCAGGATCTCTATTTACTGATAGGGCATGACTCAAAATAGGAAGAAACAGCTACAAATATCCATTAATAATTGGAACATGGAATGTACAAAGTATGAACTTAGGAAAATTGGAGGTTGTCAAAAATGAAATGGAATGTATAAAGTGCAATATCCTAGGCATTGGTGAGCTGAAGTAGACTTGTTTTTGGCCATTTTGAATATGATCTACTATGCTGGGAATGACATTGAAGAGGAATGGAATGACATTCATCATCACAAAGAATGTTTCAAGATCTATTCTGAAGTACAATGCTGTCAATGATAGGATAATACCCGTATGCCTACAAGGAAGACCAGTTAATACTACTATTACTCAAATTTACACACCAACCATTAAAGCCAATGATGAAGAAATTGAAGATTTTTATTTTTACCAACTTCTGTAGTCTGAAATTGAGCAAACATGCAATCAAGATGTGTTGATTATCACTGGTGAATGGAATGCAGAAGTTGGAAACAAAGAAGAATCACCAGTAGTTGGAAAATATGGCCTTGGTGATAGAAATGATGTCAGAGATCGCATGATAGAATTTTGCAAGACCAATTACTTATTCATTGCAAATACCTTTTTTCAACAACATAAATGGCTGCTATACAAATGGACCTCACTGGATGGAATACACAGAAATCAAATTGACTACTACATCTGTGGGAATAGGTGATGGAGAAGTTCAACATCTTCAGCCAAAATAAGGCCAGGAGTTAACTGTGAAACAGATCATTAATTGCTGCTATGCAAGTTCAAGTTGAAGCTGAAGACAATTAAAACAAGTCCAGGAATGCCAAAATATGACCTTGATTATATCCCACCTGAATATAGACACCATCTGAAGAATAGATTTGACACACTGAACACCAATGACCAAAAACTAGACGAATTGTGGTATGACATTGAGAACATCATACAAAAGCAAAAGGTCATTAAAAAGACCGGAAAAGAAGAAAAGACCAAAACAGATGTCAGAAGAGACTCTGAAACTTGCTCTTGAATGGAGAGTAGCTAAAGCAAATGGAAGAAATGACCAGATAAAAGAGCTGAACAGAAGAATTCAAAGAGCAGCTCAAGAAGAAAAGTCACTTATTATAATGAAATGTGCAAACCTGGAGTCAGAAAACCAAAAGGGAAGAACACATTCAGCATTTCACAAGCTGAAAGAACTGAAGAAAAAAATCAAGCCTCTAAGTTATGATACTGAAAGATTTTATGGGTTAAATATTGATGCAGAAAGCATCAAAAGATGGAATAAACACATAGTCACTATACAAGAAAGAATTGGTTTATGTTCATGTATTTCAGGAGGTGGCATATAATAAAGAACCAATGATATTAAACGAGGAAGTTGAAGCTGCACTGAAGGAATTGGCAAAAAACAAGGCTCCAGGAATTGACGGAATACCCATTGAGATGTTTCAGCAAATGGATGCTGCACTGGAGGCACTTACTTGTCTATGTCAAGAAATTTGGATGACAGCTACCTGGCCAACTGACTGGAAGATACATATTTGCACCCATTCCAAAGAAAAGTGATCTTATAGAATGTGGAAATTATCATTAATTATAACGTTGTTGTTTGATGCCATCAAGTCGTCTCCCACTCATAGTGACCTTATGTACAACAAGTCTAGCCTCATGATCCTTGCCATAATTATTGCAGCCACTGTGTCAATCCATCTCATTGAGGGCCTTCCCCTTTTTCACTGACCCTCCACTTGACCAAGCATGATATCCTTCTCCAGGGA